GATCGTGTGCAGCATCTGGAACGTAGAGAACATCTTGTATCGATAAGTCCAAACTGTGAAGAACAACAGTACCGTAGCCTTGACTGGGGATCGTGTGGTCATCCGCCTGGTGAATTGCACCTGCCTGCGGTGTAAAAGACACAAACAGTCGCTTGTCATTGCATAAGTGGTGCGTTGCGCCCGAATCCACCACGAAGAAAGATCTAGACATCTTCTGGACCTTTGCAACCTTTGGAGTGAAGCGTGAGACCATTGCCTTGTGTTGCATTGTCCTGGACACCGGACCTTTGCCTTTGCCACGCGATGAGCTTTCGCTGCGTTGCTCAGTCTTGGCCCTGGGAAATCTGCATTCCCTCTTCATATGGCCTAGACGTCCACACAAGTAGCATCTCACTGCCTTCAAAGCTTTGGCGCCATCTGGTGGTTCCACTGCATTCTGGGATGACGTCTGTGAAGACTCCCCCTTACCCATGCAGCTAGCACCTCGCCTGTCCGCTTCATTCAGAATCACGGCAGTAACATGTGCTACTGTGATCTGAGCAGTTGGCAGAACAGCAATCTGAGTGGCAACGGACTCCCAACTTGAACCCAAAGAATGTAGTATCATGAAGGAATACACAGCCTCTGGAAAGGTGAGTCCTCTCTGTTGCAGCTCATGTCTCAGATTCTGCATCTCCATCAGATGTGTACAGACATCTGCACCTTCAGCAAGTGCCATATCATGCAGCTTGGCATAGTAGAACAAAGAAGCGCCAGCCTCTGTTCTTAAATGAGCATTTCTTAAAGTGTCCCAAATCTCTCTGGCTGAGGTCTTATCACGCAACAGACAGAGCTCTTCTGGGGAGACTATCAATGTAAGAGTTCCCCTTGCGTTGGAATCCTTAGCTGCCCATTCATCTGTTATTGGAGCTGGGGGGGTGTCTGTAATAACATTAAACAGACCCTCTTTTCGCAGAAGAGCCTCTGCGTACAGCACCCAGTTCGCGTAATTCTTTTTATTGAGCTTAGGAATCCTACAAGCATCAGCCAGCCTTGCATTAGCCATCTCTGCTGCTTTAATCAAGCTGCGTCTGTGTACAGCTGCTTCCAAAAGCACTTTTAAAAGCACTTTCGGTTTTCAAGCCTCTCAAGCCTGTGCCGTGGCAAACGGCTTTAAAAGTTCAAAGTCCAGCCATAAAGCCATTAATTAGGAGCTGGCAGGCTTCCCGGAGCATGAGCACATACCTCTCATCAATCTTCTTGACACGCAGAGCAGATAAGACCCGATCCGTCCCTCTGTTCCTCTGCCAGCAGCCATTCTTCAGTCCGATTCCGTTTCTCTGGGCCCATAACCAAAAATGTGAGATTTTGACCAGCTTCGACCAGGTTGCAGGATTTAAATTGAACAAGTTAAAAACTAAGGTTTTAGAGAAAAATTTAACACCAATGGAGAGAGAAAGGTTTCAGAATGTGACAGGTTTAACAGTGGCTAAGAAAGTCAAATACCTGGGGATTAATATGACAGCAAAAAATGGGAATTTATTCAAAGATAACTATGAAAAATGTTGGGCTGAAGTGAAAAAAGATTTAGAAATTTGGTCAAATTTGAAGCTTTCACTGCTGGGCCGGATTGCTGCGGTAAAAATGAATGTATTGCCTAGAATGTTATTTTTGTTTCAAACACTGCAAATTGTGGACAAAATGGACTGTTTCAAGAGGTGGCAGAGAGATATTTCTAGATTTGTCTGGCAGGGCAAGAAGCCCAGAATAAAATTTAAAATACTAACAGATGCAAAGGAAAGAGGTGGATTTGCCCTGCCGGACCTTAAACTTTATTATGAATCAGCAGCTTTTTGCTGGTTGAAAGAATGGCTGCTTCTTGAAAACACTGACATTTTGGATTTGGAAGGTTTTAACAATGTATTTGGATGGCATGCATATCTGTGGTATGATAAGGTTAAAGCACATAAAGCATTTAAAAATCACATTGTCAGGAAAGCATTGTTTAATGTTTGGATAAGATACAAGGATTTATTGGAAAATAAAACTCCAAGGTGGCTGTCACCAATGGAAGCGAAAGCCTTGAAAAAGCTCAATATGGAGGTCAAGTGGCCGAAATATTGGGAAATTTTGGAACAAGATGGAGATAGACTGAAATTGCAGAGTTTTGAAAAATAAAAAAACAAAGTGCGAGACTGGCTTCATTATAATCAGATAATGGAGGTATACAATTTGGACAAGAAAATTGGCTTCCAGGTGGAAAAATCAAAATTAGAAACAGAACTGTTAGAACCCAAAACTAAGACTTTGTCAAGAATGTATAACTTGCTGCTGAAATGGAACACTCAGGATGAAACGGTGAAATCTGTTATGATTAAATGGGCACAAGACGTTGGACACATTATTTTTGCTGACTGGGAACAGTTATGGACCACAGGTATGAAATTTACGGCATGTAATGCCATAAGAGAGAATATTATGAAAATGATATACAGGTGGTACATAACCCCAGTCAAGCTTGCAAAAATCTACCATTTGCCCAATAATAAATGTTGGAAATGTAAAGAAATGGAAGGTACATTTTTTCACCTTTGGTGGACGTGCCCAAAGATTAAGGCTTTCTGGGAGATGATATATAATGAATTAAAAAATGTATTTAAATATACCTTCTTGAAGAAACCAGAGGCCTTTCTTCTGGGCATAGTCAGCCAATTGGTGCTAAAAAAGGACAGAACTTTCTTTATGTATGCTACAACAGCAGCAAGAATACTCATCGCAAAGTATTGGAAGACACAAGAGCTACCCACACTGGAGGAATGGCAGATGAAATTGATGGACTATATGGAATTGGCGGAAATGACTGGCAGAATCCGTGACCAGGGAGAAGAGTCGGTGGAAGAAGATTGGAAGAAATTCAAAGATTACTTACGGAAATATTGCAAAATTAAAGAATGTTAGAGTGATGTTGGATTGAAATGAAGTGGCTTCTAGCTGTACAGGCTTAAAGTTATATATAGATCAAGATTAAGGATTAGGATTAAAAAAGTTAAAAGAAATGGAAAATTGGCTTTTAACAGGTTAAAATTTAAGGTTATATTATATTAAGATTAAGGATTGGGATTAAAAAGGAGGGAAAGGAATTGCTGAACAAACAAATTGAATTGGAATACAAAAGAGGGAGGTATGAGGAGGTCCGGGAAATAAGTTAATGTAAAAGTTATGATGAAAAGATGGAATTGTTTTTAACTGTCTTTTTTTCTTTTTCTTTTGTATTTTGTATGGTGTATTTCTCTTTTTATTGTTAAATTTCTTCTTTATTTTTTTTTTCTTTTATTAAGATGTCTTTTTTTATGTGAAACTTCAATAAATATCATTAAAAAAAAAAAAGATTTTGACCAGCTTCGGCCCATCTGAAGCTGATACAGGCTCGTCTTATCTTGAGCCCAAGCAGAATAGTCCACACAGCAGAAGGATAAGCAGTATGTGCTACATTCTTTAACTTTATTTACACTCTATGCTGAGAGAATACAAACATGCATCTTGTCTCTGTGAGAGCAGAGAAGCAACTCCCTCGGAAACAAAGAACACCGAGAGAACCGTGAAAAACAGGAAACCAGTGTACGTCACATCCAGTCTCCCATTCCCGTGAGAATCCAACAGTAACTCTGACTGTGGGATGCAAAACAATGTCTTGTGACATGCATTCGCTGCTCAGTGAGGAAGCAGAAACCAACAGTTATTGCATCTATACCGCCTTGTTTGGACAGCATCTTGCAGCTTAGCCTGCTGTAACTTACCTGGGCTTTGTCAGTACCCAGGTTAACAGACAGTGTAGACGCTACTGAACTAGTTGGTTTGACAGAGTGGTTGAGTGTGGATGTTACAGGTTAACAGGCAGTGTAGACACTACTGAACTAGGTGTATAGACAGAGGGTTGAGTGTGATCTAGGCGCTAAGTCTCTCTGTGGGAGGGCACAACGGGGAGTTGATTGCAGTTACGCGATACCTAGGTTGCCCAGACATAGTAGGCGCTACTGAATTAGGTGATCTGTCAGCGCAGACTTCATTGTTGCACTCAGCCATTGTCGACTTTACTGCCGACTCAGTTTAAGATAATGGCCTCTAAAAGAAATCAGCAGGCATCCACTGGGGCTGGGGCTACACCAGGGGCGCAGGGCGGTTCACAGGCGCTGGTTATGCCTTGCAACCCTCAGGCATTTGCTCAATTCTTTACCGCTTTTGAGACCTTTTACAGGCAATGTAGGCCTGCAGGATCAGGGGCAACATCAGACTCCCAAGACTGTATTCCGGACAACCCTCTTTTCAATCAGGTCCACCCCAGTATCTCGGCAGCTAGCGTGGCTGCCTTCGGGTCAGGTGGCAACACGGCCAACCGCCCTCTTACATGGTTACAGTCATCGGGTGCCGGTAAATCAAAAAAGGGATCCAAGGGCGGAAGGTCAGGGGCTGCTAATTCTAATAGTTCTAATTCTCAGCAGGAAGCAGATGCTCCTAGTATCTTTCAGGACCCTTTGTCGCAGTCTATGGCAACGGAAGGCGCTTCAGGTTCCTCTTCAGAAGAGGAAACTCAGGACCAGCAGGGCGCACAACCAGTTAGTGTTTCAGCTTCAGCTGCAGGTGAAGGACAAGGGGGAAAGAGAAAGGAAAAAAGGAAGCATACATCTAAGAAGACCAAGAAAAGTAGGCGGTCGGACTCAAGAGACGATTCAGGTACCTCTTCATCTGATTCTGATAGCGATGCCCCTATGGAAGAATATTGGGGCCTGGGTGAGGACAGCTCAGGGCTTCCTTTGTGGGTGCACGAAAGAAGGGCTAATTCGTAGAGCACATCCTTTAATGGTACCTTAGAGTGGAAGGACGGTGCGTTAGTTGAGGACGTAAAGTCCTCCACAAACTTGTCTATTGATTTCATTCTTGGCAATCATTTATCTCAAAGAAAAAGAACTAAGATTCTTAATGGTGATTTTGTAGACATATTTACCTTGTTACCGCCAGCCAAGATGACGGGTAAAGGAGGAAAGCAGCGCACCTATGGCAAGCGGAGGTCCAGGACACCGCGAGCCGATCACACTTTTGAAAATTGGCTGAATGGGTTCCAGGTTTTCATGGGGGTCATTAGCGCTGCTTATCGCAAACGTACTATGCATTTAATAGCGTATATGGCGCATGTTAGAAGGGCGCGAGAATTAGCGGGGAAATCCGCGGCACTAACATATGATGAAGACTTCCGTAGAAATGCTTCCTTGCTCCCCTCCACGCGTTGGGATCTGAGGGACCAAAATTATTGGATGGAGCACGTGGGCCCTTACGTGGAGAAGAAACATCAGGACTCCTCCAAATTTGCAAAGGCAGAGTCGAAGTGGAGGCGGCAGTGTTGGGAATACAATAGGGGGGGTTGTACTAGGCCGGCATGTAAGTATATCCACGAGTGCGAGAAATGCCTTGGCAACCATCCTGCCACTGTGTGCTTTAAAGGAACGCAGCAGCTCTTTCGGGGTGGCAGAGGCTTCTCCCAACAGGGTGGAAGGGGAGGCCACGGGCCCCCCTTCGGTGCGCAGGGAAGTTGTCAATAATTTGTCCCTTACCTTGTGTGAGTGCCTGGAGGCGGTTGGAGGTTGGATGGCGGCTAACAGATTGAGGTTGAATCCTGACAAGACAGAAGTACTGTTTTTTGGGGGACAGGAGGCGGGCAGGTGTGGAGGATTCCCTGGTCCTGAATGGGGTAACTGTGCCCCTGAAGGACCAGGTGCGCAGCCTGGGAGTCATTTTGGACTCACAGCTGTCCATGGAGGCACAGGTCAAATCTGTGTCCAGGGCAGCTGTTTACTGGCTACATCTGGTACGTAGGCTGAGACCCTATCTGCCTGCGGACTGTCTTGCCAGAGTGGTGCATGCTCTGGTTATCTCCCGCTTGGACTACTGCAATGCGCTCTACGTGGGGCTACCTTTGAAGCTGACCTGGAAACTACAACTAATCCAGAATGCGGCAGCTAGACTGGTGACTGGGAGTGGCCGCCAAGACCATATAACACCGGTCTTGAAAGACCTACATTGGCTCCCAGTACGTTTCCGGGCACAATTCAAAGTGTTGGTGTTGACCTTTAAAGCCCTAAACAGCCTTGGTCCAGTATATCTGAAGGAGCGTCTCCACCCCCATCGTTCTACCCGGACACTGAGGTCCAGCACCGAGGGCTTTCTGGCGGTTCCCTCACTGCGAGAAGCCAAGTTACAGGGAACCAGGCAGAGGGCCTTCTCGGTAGTGGCGCCTTCCCTGTGGAACGCCCTCCCACCAGATGTCAAAGAGAATAACAACTACCAGACTTTCAGAAGACATCTGAAGTCAGCCCTGTTTAGGGAAGTTTTTAATGTTTGATGTATTATAGTATTTTAATATTTTTTGGAAGCCGCCCAGAGTGGCTGGGGAAGCCCAGCCAGATGGGCAGGGTATAAATAATAAATTATTATTATTATTATTATTATTATTATTATTATTATTTATTATTATTATTGGCCGTCACCCCATCAAACTGAACCCATTAAAATCTCTTCTCGATCTCTATCCAAACAAAACAGCCGCATCCTATTTGTGGGAAGGGTTTAGCATAGGATTTAGGATCCCAGTTGCTTTTCCACCCAACTCAGGTGACCCTCCAAATCAAAAATCGGTAAGAGAGATGCCTGAAGTGGCGCGTAAGAAAATTCTGAAGGAAATTAAGGTGGGGAGGGTCGCTGGCTCCTTCTCTGCCCCTCCCATAGAGGGTTTACACATCTCCCCTTTAGGCATCGTTCCCAAGAAGGCACCTGGGGAATTTTGCATGATTCACAACCTTTCCTACCCAAAGGGAGGGTCTGTCAATGATGCGATACCTCAGGAGCTTTGCTCAGTGAGATATGCCTCCTTTGATCAAGCGGTCAAGCTTATTCGCAAATTTGGAAGGGGTGCATTGCTTGCAAAGTGTGATATTGAGTCGGCTTTCCGCCTCTTGCCGGTGCACCCCGAGGATTTCCGGTGGCTTCAGTTTAAGTTTGAAGGGGTATATTTCATTGACAAAGCAATGCCTATGGGCTGCTCCGTGGCTTGCGCAGCCTTTGAATCATTCAGTACATTCCTGGACTGGGCGCTTCACTTTAGAACAGGCTCCGAGGGTGTGTTGCACTATTTGGACGACTTTATTCTCGTAGCTGAAAGTAGGCATCAATGCTCTTCTCTTCTCGAGGCATTCACATCATTGGCCACAGAGTTTGGGGTTCCCTTGGCAGCAGAAAAAACCGAGGGCCCCACAACAACTATGGTTTATCTGGGCATTGAATTGGACACAATCGCCCAGACCTCCAGGCTCCCTAGAGAAAAATTGGTAGCGCTTAGGGACCTAATCCTCCAGCTTCTTCCCCTAAGAAAGGTTACCCTCAGGCAAATCCAGTCACTTTTGGGCCATTTGAACTTTGCTTGCCGGGTGGTCTCCCCCGGCCGTCCATTCTGCAGTCGCCTTTCCAGGTTGTCAGCAGGCTTGCGTTCACCTAACCACAGGGTCCGCCTTTCCAAAGAGGTAAAATCTGAATTGGAAGTCTGGCTGAAGTTTCTCAAGAAATATAACGGAATTTCCCTGTGGCAGGATAGCATTTTGCTAAAGGCAGACTTCCAAGTGCAGTCAGATGCAGCTGGATCTTTAAGTTTTGGGGTTTATTTCAGGGGGCAATGGTGCGCCCAGCTCTGGCCTGCCACTTGGCAGGGGGGACCCATTACCTGTGACCTTACCTTCCTGGAATTCATCCCTATAGTGGCAGCGGTCCACCTATGGGCAAAAGAATTTAGTAACCACAGGGTGTGCTTTCATACTGACAACCAAGCAGTAGTGTCGATCTTAGCTAAACAGTCATCGTGCTCACCGAGAGTGGGGACCCTTCTGCGTGCTTTTGTCCTCTTGTGCCTAGAACTCAACATCCACTTTTCTTCCAAATTTGTACAATGACATCGCAGATGCCCTATCTCGCTTTCAGATGGACCGTTTTCGCTCGTTAGCACCGGATGCTCAGCAGCTGCCGCAGCCATTCCCTGAGCACCTCTGGAGCCTTGGGAACAAGAAGTGATGCAGGGAGTATTGACCTCAGTGGCCCCATCCACCTTAAGATCTTACAAGAAAGCGTGGTCTGATTTCTTGAGATTCTGTAACAATCTTAATGCCACCAGGGCTGCTTTCCCCCCTTCTAAATCAGAGGTCCTTTGTTATTTGGTGCACCTCAAGCGTTTGGGCAGAGCTGCCAAGACCCTTAAGATTCAATCGGCCGCAATATCGTTCTTTTGCAAAGCAGCCTTTTCTTCCGACCTCTGTGCAGACTTTGTAGTGCGTAAGGCCTTGGAAGGGTGGAGTAGGCTTCAACCGCCCAGCAGTGACAAGAGGAAGCCAATAACTTTCAATATACTTTCCCAAATTCATAAAACGTTAAGGACAATATGCTGGTCGAAATACGAAGCCCGCTTATTCTCAGCAGCATATTCTATCGCCTTCTTCGGCGCACTTCACATTGGTGAAGTGGTCTGCGAAGGCGGCCCTGTTGCTAGTTCCTGGGGAATACTCCTGAGCGATATTACCCTTTCGCGGGAGGATTTGGTGCTGCGGATTCGCAGCTCAAAAACTGACCAACACGGTAGGGGGGTCCTAATTCGACTCTTGGCAACAAATAGACCGGGTCCATGCCCAGTAAAAGACACCAGGCGTTTCTTATTCCTAAGATCTAATCTCGCAGGCCCACTCTTAGTCCATGCGGATGGATCTCTCCTAGCTCGGCATCAATTCACCCGTGTTATGCGCTTGACGATCGCTATGTGTGGCCTGCCCCCCGCAGAGTTCGCGGCTCATTCATTTCGTATAGGGGCAGCCACAACAGCCGTACACCTTGGCTTATCGGCCGAGAGGATAAAAGACATGGACTTCTGGAAGTCAAACGCTTACAAACGCTATGTCAGGAAAAACTTATGACAACCTGCCCTTGTTTAAGCCCCTCTTCCCTACCTTAGTATCTTCTCTCAATTCTCTTGCAGGAATCTCGGCTGTGCGCATTTGGATAATCGGGCACAGTATCGTGCACTGGGCCAGGACTCACACCATCAATACTGGGGTCAGGCCGCAGCTCAACTTATCTTCAAACACCAAGGTGTCCTGGATCTCACAGAGAGGGATGCACTGGGCAGAACTGATGCCAGCGGTGGAAGCTAGAGGGCCCTAGTGGAGCGCCCTCCGGACGCCCTAGTCATTCAGCTGGGTGAAAACGACCTAGCTTATCGAAAGGCGGTCGACCTGATGTGGCATATTTTTGGGGACTTTGATAATCTGAAAGCCTCTTACCCCGACACCACCACACTGTGGTCATCAATGCTGGAGAGGCGGGTTTGGAGGGCTAGTCGCTGCCCGATTGCATTAAATAGATCAAGAAAAACCTTGGATCGGGCCGTGGCACGCAGAGTGGTGGCCCTAGGAGGGCGGGTCATTGACCACCCCGGCATACATTTCAATAAGGAGACCCTCTACCGGTTTGATGGCGTGCATCTTTCTGATGCTGGAAATGATATTTGGTTGAGTGAGATTTCAGGGGGGGATTAGGGATTGGTTGCAGGCATGAGGGTATTGGCGGCGAGCTATTGCTTGAGTGGCGGTTAGGCATTGGCAAGGGAGGGTTAAGTGTATGTGAGGGGGGAGGGAAGCGCCATCGCCTCCCCCACAGGAAAAGGGTAGTCCGATAAAGGACTCCGGGGTGGCTTTGCCCTGTCCGAAGCCTATGGAGGTGTGGGCCCAAGGCACGCCCCCAAGCAGTGACTCCAGGGAGTTCCTAGTTGACATGCCTCAGCAGGACTCCCCTTACTGGTGGTTAACCCTTGCTGGTCTTCATGCAACCGGGCTGAAGCCGGCTAGTCGATAGGGCCAGTGCCTAAGCCAATACCGCTCATTCCTGTAATCAATAAAGTTGTGGCCTATTTCACCCATTAACCTTAATTCTTGGTGTCCTGTGTCTTTATTTCTTCCTGGGAGGGGGTGGGAACTTGCCACACAACTCCAGGCGATAGAAGACCATCGAAACAAGAAGAAATCAAAGATTTGGACAATTTATGGCTAAAAATAAAAGAGGAATTTAAACAAAATGAGCAACATATGGAGAAAAAATTGGCAGAAGTGCAAGAAATATTGGATAAAAAGATAGATGGAGTGGTGGGAGAACTGTCAAATAAAATTAAAGATTTGATGGTACGATCTAAGACAATGGAGGAATCAATGAAGAGGACTCAGAAAGAAGTGAAGGAAACAAGAAAGGAGACAGAGAACGGGTTAAGGATGAAGTATCAGAGTTAAGTAAAGCACAGGAACAAATATGGCTATGATGGAGATGCATCAAAAGCAGAAGAATTTAAAATTTAGAGGTATAGCAGAAGAGATGAATGAGAATGAGGATGTAAAATTAAAAATGATTAGAGAATTGGCAAGATGGATGGAGCTTAAGGAAGAAGAAATTGGATATACAATTGAGAATGCTTTCAGAATAAAGGTGAGGTCGGCGAAAGCCAAATCAAGAAACTTTCCTG